CCCCTCTGCGGGGCAGGGAAGCTAACATGAAGTGGCCATTGCCACCACTCACCAGCCCAGTGAGCTTCACCATCCCACAGAGGAGTGCCACTGCCCTCACACCAACCCAGTGAGCTTCCCTGCCCCACCCCAGCCCTGCTCCTGGCAGGTGGTAGCACTCTGTCCCTGCCCACCCATGCACCGTCCCCACCTCCCTGCTCCGTGTCCAGCCATGCACCTCCAACCCCCTCCCCCCCGCTTGGCATTTGGCCACACGCTACCCTCCCCGCCCCCCAGCGTCTGGCCACTGGGCGTACTTAGGCTAAAAAAGGTTGAAATACAAAAACTGAGATTTTTCTGAAGTGTACCTGGCTTTAAACATGAGACTGTTTCTTTTATTTCTAAGAGCATTTGATAGCATGTTGTACCTTGTCCATTCTGGTAGGCTAAGCCCAGCTTTTAAAATTAAAGGATACGACTAAGCACTTAAGTTGTAAAGGGAAGTGGAAGCAAAGAAATCTATCTACTTGTGCATTTGTGCAGGAGGCAGGAATACTGTATTTAAAGGAAACTTGAGATTAAAGCCCGTTCTGCTAGTGGTAGTAGCTAACCCTAAGGAAGGCACATCAAAGTTGAGGTGTGGCCCTCACCCAAAATATTATGACCTGTCTTGGCAAAATGCTTGCTAAGGCCACATATAAACATTCATTTCTACAGGTAAGAATTCTTACCGGTTAAAAAATACCCCAGGAGCTGGAGCATTCATGTATTCCAGACCCTTGGCTAAAAAGCGTCAATGGTCAGCTCTCCAGCCAGGAGGCATGACAGAGCTGCTCCCTGGGCCACTTATTAATTGACTGCCTACCCTCTTCCCTTCCTGGCAGCTGGCAGCTCTTGAAAAGCAGCAACTGCCACAGATGTCTCCAAAAGCCTCAAGAGAATGCCCTTGGTTCCCACTGCAGGAGAATAGTTACTGCTCCTTGCACTACTCTGGGCCAACCCAGAGCAGCCTGCCTCACCCCACACTTCTCTGGGTCAACCCACAGCAATGGGGGTGCAGCAGGGGCATTCCTTCATGGGGAGAACCCCCTTCACTGCAAGAGAATTCACACACCATCAGCAGGCGGATTGGCAGGAGAGGTTAATTTTCCTGTACAGGATTTCCCCAGGGCTTCTCCTAGCACAAGTGCAACATCTGTGTCTGGCCCAAATTTCTCTTAAAACCAGTACATGTAAGCCACATCCAGATGTGCATGGACGTTTGGTTCCACGGGGACAACTAGTGGCAGCACACCTTGTAATGCACCTCCAGTGTCCAAGATTTAATTCTACAGCATTATAGGAAATAGACATACTTGTGAAATAGCTCAGCAAATCAAACACAGTGGTTTCATGAAAGGACTTATTGTATCAGTTGGATACAGAGATGAAAGAAAATGCTAGCACTAGCATGTCCAAGAAAGGATGTATTGCCTTGGCAGGCTTGAAATGAAAGCTACCTGTTGTCTTCATACTTGAATGAAAATTAGTACCAAACCATATCCCAGCTAAGTGCTATATTAATGCATTAAATCAGGTACTTTTTTTTAACTTGCAGGAGAGCCACACAGAAGAGCATGAAGGTGAAGAGCAGGTTCATGAACAGCCCCCACAGCAGGAAGAGTACTGACCCGTCCAACATCTTTGACATTTTTCATTTTGTGTGGGAACTTTCTTCTGGAGAATGGAACATGTGTGGCCTCAAACTTGAAACCAGTCACTCCCAGTCTGCCATTAACATTTATGTACCATAGTGAGTGCCAGCCAGCCACTGCATTCTGTACCCAAACTTTGCCAAGATGCATTTTGCAGAAGTCTCCTTTCAGTGTATCTACCCAAGAGGTCGTAGGTCTACATCACCTACTGTACATCACTGCAACTTCACCACTTGGCTGCTTGAGATTTGTTCTGCTTTTTAAAAATATATATATTTATTTTTTTTCTTTTGTCGTAAGTATGACACATTTGTAATTTGTTCTAACGTATTTATGACATCCCTTGTGGCGAGAAGTACTATACCACTAGATGTGCATCTCACTTGGTTCTTTCAAGTACATCTGCCTTGGAGCAAAAATTTGGTCAGATAATTGGAAAAAAGGAGACAGTAGAAGTGATATTTAAGCTATCATGATGAGGTGTATTGTGGAGGAGGAAAGCTTATGTTACTCGCATTGTTCCCATCCTGTAATTATAAAACAAAAGACAAGGCAACATTTTCCTTAGTAAAGATTTAAAAAATCCTTGAGTGTTTTCTACACCAAAGCATGTTAGAAAGCTGCACGATGTGTTTCTATTTCCGGAAGATACATGTCCACTTAACTGTTTGAAAGTCCTTTCAGTTTCCCTGCTTCTTCCTTCTTAAGGTCACCTATTTATTTTTCTCTTTCTCCTGCTTCAGCTCTGTATCTACAGAGCTCACTGCTGATTCAGGAGACAAATCTCTTCCCCACCAAAACTGCATCTGCAGAACATCATCTCTGGCCTTGCATTCTGCCTCTCACCCTTACAAGTGAGGATCACATCGGTAGGAGTTCCTCTTTCCCAGTGTCCATCCTCTCCTCAGCCATCCATATACAGAACATGAAAATGTCATGACTAGGGCTAGGCTTGTCCAAACATTAGCAGCAAGCCTGCTAAAGAACCAGCCCTAGAAACCCTTAAGCAATTCTCCCTTTAAACATTAAATGATCTGAATACTGACTGAAGACCAATTTTTCCCTTAGATGCTTCAGACTTGGTGCATCAGTTAGAAGCCCTAATGTGTATAAAGAATACATTAGTAGGGAACCACCTGCAAAAGACTATAAAACAGTTCAGTAGGCTGGCATGCTGCAAATCTGAACCCAACTCAGTCCCAAAGGTGTTCCTGCAGCAAGCCATTGATTACAGAGCATTCTGTACTTTTCATCTTACTGTTGTACATTTTAGTTTGTTTCTTCATCACCTTTCTTTTACTCTTGGGCTTCCTGGCTTCTGACACTTGATTTCCAACCCCTTTCCCCCTTAAGTGTCAATTTACCACTCTGTTTATTTGATTCAGCAGGCACAAGGAAGTTACATCCCAAACTAAGGTCACTGAAAAACCGAATTAAATCTTTGGAGTGGTTTATCCTTTTTCAAATCTTTATAGAGTTACTTTACTGATTAAGCTCGACATCTAAATTGACAGTTGTAGCGAATGTTTACTTTAAAACAGATTTGGAAAAAAAATCTTTTGCAGCAAAGTGGCTCTACTTTAAACATGAGAGATCTCACCTACAGGGTGTCACACCACAGCCTGTGCTATCAAATGTTGGAACAGGTTTTACTATTTCCTCAGTTGTACCCTTAGCTTTGCAGCAGTTCAGTGGGTTTTAAAGTCTTCTGGCTCTGCCCTCAGCATTACTCCCACACTTCCTAAGTGCTGTACCCTGAAATCTAGCACTTCTTGTTACTATTTTTGGTTTAATTGATTTGTTTGGTTTCAATTAGAATCTTCTACGTAAAGAAATTTTAAAGGAGAATTTTCTAAAAAGATATATAAATGTATTCACAGACAGAATTCAATAGCCTTGTTTTAAATTGTTTCCTTTTCCAAATACCCTATTATGTTCTCTCCAGTTTCTGGTGGGTAAAGAATTCAGGATCTGACCATACGCTGTTGTTCATCAGTAGCAGATCATGGTCACTGATACAGTCCCACCATCTTTCTATTTCTAAAGAAGCAGCTTTGGGGAGAGCACTGTAGGAAAAAAGTACTTTGCTTTCCAAAGCTTCAGATTTTTTCCCCCCTCTCAAATGGTTCTCATCAAGGCAACCCTGCTCTACTTCTTTCAATCAGAAGTACAACAAAATCTGCCTTTTCTTCTCACCTTATAGTATCTATGTAGTATAGCACTTTCACTGCTTCAGATCATAAATTGCAGGGGTGGTAAGTTATCCTCCCAAGGAGTTGAGATTCAGTTGGCTGAGGGGAGAGATACTCTGGAAGGGGAAAGAGTTCACCTCCCTCCGTGGTGAGTAACCCCATTATTCCGTTATGGTTTTAATATGCATTTGTAATTACTTTTACTAAATAGCACACCATAAAGCTTTGGTTATATATTAAATGTAAACTGAAAGGAATGTAAACATATGTATTGTTAATTATAAATAGATAAGTAATGACATAATAGATGCAAAAAGTCTTATTCAGATGTATTGGTATCATTTTACATTACCCACAAATTGTCGCATGGTAGAGTAGATTTTTTTTGTCTCTGAATATGTGAATAACTTGACTTGCGTTTATCTTTTTACATATTTAATAAAAAAATATATGTTAAAATCTGTCTAACTCTACAGACTATTCAAAAGAGTTTAAATTGGTACGTTTCTGTTTTTAAATATATATTAAACAAAAATCATTAATCACCTGTAGAAGAAGAGCAAAAAAGGCAAACAGGTTAAAACAAAATATAGTTAATTTACTTAATGTATGTAGGAATTACTTTTCAAGAACACAGTGATTGTATCACTCTTCCACAGATCATACAATAAGATGAATGAAAATATAAAAAAAAAAATTACGATTTGTCTTTTTGGTCAAGTCTTTCCAATCTCAAGAGTGCTAAATGTCTAGTTTTGGTTTAGAGGAAATGCAACAGCAACATCTGAAGAAACTAGCACGTGCAGAGAAGGTCCAAAAAGGGAATGCTAATAGTGCAAGAAAGATGGGGAAGATCCAAATGGACTTTTGATGGAGAGGCTTAGCATTAAGAATTCCTCATCTAAAAATTATTTAAATTGACAACAGGAATATTTGCTTTGTGTAGAGGAATACATCAAAGCCAACTCCATGGCTCTGACTCAGACTACAAACAGATGTTGCATTTGTTCTAAGATAAGACATATTATCCCAGGACAAAATGCAGTCCTTCATATATCCGTGTCCTTTGTCCCAGGGTAAATCGTAAAAGGTTCATGGGATAAGAAGTGCTAACTGTTTTTCCTGAGACATTGCAAAGTGTATCTGAACTGTTATCCTGCAATTACATCATCGAATCAATGGCAGAAGAGTGGATTCCATTCAGCTGCTCACTAACCCCTGATCAGAAGGGCGATGTGTGTACACACTGATACCAGGATATTGCTGTTCCAGAATAAACACAGGCATAATTTGTCCAAGGACATGTGCAATGTTTGTTCATAGCCTTGGTGTGCTGTAGGAAATGTTCTTCTAATACTTCATAGTTTCATAGTTTCTAGGGTCGGAAGGGACCTGAGTAGATCATCTAGTCCGACCCCCTGACATGGCAGGAAAGAGTACTGGGGTCAAACGACCCCAGCAAGGTGTTCATCTAACCTCTTCTTAAAAACCCCCAGGGTAGGAGCCTGCACCACCTCTCTTGGAAGTTGGTTCCAGACCCTAGCCGCCCTGACCGTGAAGTAGCGCCTCCTGATATCTAACCTAAACTTACCCTCCGCCAGCTTGTGACCGTTATTCCTGGTCACTCCTGGCAGTGCTTGGGGGAACAGTGACTCCCCCAGTGCCTGCTGATCCCCCCTGACTAGTTTATAACAGGCCACAAGATCCCCCCTCAGCCTTCTCTTTTGGAGGCTGAACAGGTTCAGGTCCCGTAGCCTCTTCTCATAGGGCCTGCCCTGCTTGGTCTAAGCCTCCAGGAATAGGGCTGTAAGTGTATGCTTTCCTTCTCAGAAGAGCGAAGGATCAAATCTAAATCATTCCTGACCTTTGCTTCGAGGTTTGCCTCTTTCTTGTCTTAAGCTGTGTGATTGCTTTGAACCCGCAGCATGAGGACAGTTCAGAATGTGCACAACGCACCCATAGAGATTCTTAGATGAGCAGCTTTCAGTGGGAAAGGAGAACTTAAAGCCAAAAAGGTGGACAGAAACCTGAATGACCCCCCTGTCCAACCATAAGTTAATTACTTCAGCGAGCTCATTCTTTTGATAGATGCCTTTCACTGGAAAAGTGAGTGAGCAAATCTCTGCTGTTTTATGCTCTACAATGAAAAACATGTACATTTCAATCCCATTTTCATTTGAAAATGATTGTGAAAATAACCATGTATAGCACAGATGAATGGGGGAAAAGGCATTTATTGAAGGGAAACCAATTTTTCTTCTCCATAATCCTCAGCAGACCTTACAAAAAAAAGTCAATCAGTGATCATGCTGTCCTATGAACAAAAGACATTTTATTCTGTTTTGTTGAATCACAATTAATTTATTTTCCCCAACATCTTCTGACAGTGCAGTATATTTCATTGTACAATGCAATGTACAATACATTATCCACATTTATATTTCAGCTTATCTCTGACAAATCTCACTGATTAAAAAAAATAGTGGACATAACAGTTGTATATGTTACATTCCACACTAAACAATACTACAAGAAATTCATTTATATTACAAATGTGTGGCATGCATTTATCTATAAAATGTTTATTTTATAGATAAAATAGCTTCTGCCATTTCAAGTTTTATATCTGTGTACCTTGGAACAGTTCACTAAAATACAAAACACCTAATGAAGCCATTCTATGCGCACACATTTCCAACTGTTTATAAATAAAAAGGAAAAGTAGGCTTTTAACCTACACTCCAAATATTTTACTTGAAGTAAAGTACAACCTGCTTTTCATTTACAAAAGTATTTTCTAGATATTTCCTATTACATTCCAGAAATTTTCAAAAATAAACATAGGTATCAAAGCAGGTAAGAACAATATAGTCTAGTGTATATAGTGTTTGAATTTAGTATACAATTCTGTCAAAGAATGAAGTTTCAGATGTAGTCCAAATTAAACTGTCAAACTTCAGTTTATTAATTACAGGGTGCCTTTCTTGCATCTCTCATGAAATAACCTTTTGACCTGGGGTTAATTTAACAAGGGTGGCTTCAGGCATCATTGGAATCCTGTTCTGGACACCCAGAAGCTCCTTAGTCTTCAAAAAAGCCTTGAGGCAATCAAACCAACATCTTTTGTCTCCATGTAGATTTGGAAGGAAAGGGATTTGTCATTCCATATACTTAAAGAATAAGTTTAACCAAGTCACTGATTCATCCATGGCACACTGGCCAGATAAACTGCAAACACATAAATAGATGATACTAGAACACCTGGCTGCCAAATCTAAAAATCCAGACCGCTGGAACCCAAACAACATCAACATTTGGGATTATAGAAAGACCTTTGCGCTCTTCGGCTAAAGCCAGACTATCTCTACCACCCTGGACCCTTGCTGATTCCGATATGACAGATTGATAAGAGAAGTACAGCCTAATCAAAATATGTAATATACTTGGATTTTTTTCATCATTGCTAATACCTAATTTCTGTTGTTATAAAGATAATGAGACATTCCCCTGTGGAGGATGGGAGAACTGGACTCGAAAACTTGCCCTTGGAGGTCACATGCAGGTTATATCACTTTGTGGGAGAGTACCCTGTTAGGAATGATCTAGGTCTGAAGAACAGGTCAAGCCATCTACTATTAGAGTGTACATGGATTGACATTTGAACCACAAACCCGTGTCTTCCAAGCACTGCAGCTGAAAAACAGGATTGGTTAACTAACACAAAATCTGACTGGCTCACTTTTTACTACTTGCTTTGTGGCTCTGAGATGCATATGCCCAGTTACCAGCTGCGTTTTATCATCACAGTGAGATTAAAGAATCTTCAAAAGTTTGGGGGACAAATTTATTCTTATATTCTCTTATAATGGGATAAAATGCCATGCTTGTTTACTTAGTTAAGTACTGATACTATCTGCTACAAAAGATATAAAGACAGTTGCTGACATGTGGAACCTGTGGCCTGATAGACATGCATTCGACCAGGCTTACTGGGAGACCAGAAAAAGTATGGGATTGGGAGGGTTTTGTTTGGGTTGTAATTTCCTGATCTCATCTCTTCTACACTAGTGAATGTGAGAGAGAGCAGACATTGCACCAGGGTTAACCTTTTGGGTAATGTGAGAGAAGTTAAACTTGGCAAGGGAAACATGTGGATTGTTGCTCACATGTCAGGAACTCCATATAAATAGGGCATCAGTGAAGCAGGCATGGAGATGTGAGTGGGGAGGAAGGATATCTAGTTGACATTAAATGTAGTTTCATTGAGGAACATAATAGGATAAAAAGAAGGCACTGCTTCAATTTAAATTAAATTAAGGGTGATGTGTGAATGACTTTGGAGGTAGAAACAAAGAAGGTGAAACATGATACCTTGAGCCACAGATGGCCAATCTGTGGCACTTTGTCACAAGTAGCATGGCCAGCCTGTGTGTGGCACATTACACATCGGGCGGGAGTCAGGCAATACAGTAACAGATAGGGCAGGAAGCTGAAGGCAAAGGAGTAGATCAGGCAGGAAGTAGAGGGCAGGAAGCAGAAAGCAGATTAGGAGACTGATCATGGAGCAGAGTAGGGAGCAGAAAGCAGAGCAGCAGATTGGACAAAGGAAGGGGACTGGAGTGCCCTCAGGGAGGGTGTGGGGCTAATTCTATGGCATGCCTGCTAAGAAGGGTGGCTCCCATTGTCTTGAGCAAACAAGAGGAGGAGTAAGGACTTAAATAAGGAAGTGCTTTGGTCCGAATAGGTAGAAAAGTTAAGTTAGCAGCAGAGTGACTAAGGGTTTAATTTCTCAACTAGAATTCTCTTCTATTAAACATCCTGCTCCATCAGTATTCCAGGGTTTTAAATATCTGGTCCATTATAGTTCAATATTTTAATCAATAGAATTACACTGTTTATCAGATAAATGCACCTAAGAAGCCCCATGGTAGTGTTTCATGTCCTGGTCACAGCAAAGACTTCATTCTCGAATGCGTTTCTTTAGGGAAAAGGCATAAATGTTGAAATAGTCACTCAACTGTCTCACCTAAAGATAAATCAGAGGTTTCAGTGTTGATTAAAAACATAATACAAGCATCGGAATTCAAAGTCACTGCTCTTCTACCCTGAGGGAATTTACTTGAAGAACTATACCCATTAAGACAAGTGAGTTTTGATTTTAAATTGCCCATGCAATGTACTGGTGAAAGATTAAGCCAGTGCTGACCAAAGGTCACAGAAATGTCATAAAATGTCAGTAAAATTGGGGTTATTTCTACCAGCAGCACTTGGTCCAAATGATTCTGATCTGTACAGTTTGGGTCTGCATTGATATTTCTCTTAAAATCTGCTACAGGATTTGCATCCATATGCTAAAAAGGGGCTGCCTTTTTAAGGCAAGGAGCAAAAAGCCCCTGTAAAGCTCAACAGCAGCTCTTAACTAAACAGACGTTAGTCAAATACCTACTAAATGAAATTTCTGCTATATGAGACATCTCTGCAAGGAAAGTCCAATTATGGCACGCTCTAAGAATTATTTTATAAGATTAAAAGCTGAGGAAGAATTAATTTGATAATTAAGTCAGAAGGTAGTAAATAACAAAATTATACCCATGTAATCTGCGAACTTAAAAGATCCCTGTACTTTGCACAGAATGATGGCATTGGTACATCTAATATGTAGTGTGGTGGTAGTGAAGAGAGGAAAGTGCATAATGGACTGTGGCTTAGCTTGCATATTTAAACTTATTTTTATTAATGTTTTTCTTCATTGCAACTTTCCAGATTTGATTGGAGTAATTCTCTAGGTAAGAGGAAAGTAGGGGTGCACTGCTAAAGATTTTTTGGGCCGATACTGCTTGTCAATTATTAACAAGCCATATTGGCCAGTACCAATCTGATTGCCAATATGCAGCCTGGCAGCTTGGATAACAGCATCCAGCTGCTAAGTCTGTTTGGGGGAAAGGGGCGGGGAGGGGAAGGGCATGGGGGGCAGATTGAGACCCCTGTGGTAAGGGAGGGAGTGGGGCTGGGGCTGGGGCAAGGGAAGGTGCTGCCCAGCCAGGGCAGGGTGCAGGATGGAGCCATGAGCAGCTCATCTGTGGGGCATGGGGAAGGGGCACAGCCCCCAGCACTGCATGCACCCCCAGGGGAGGCATGAAGGGCATGTGCCCCCCAGATCTGTGTGTGGGGTGAGGGTGGGCTGCCTGCTGTGGGCTGGGGCTGGGAATGGCACCAGGCTCTTCCTAGTGAGGGGGCTGGGCTGGGGCTGCACTTGGGGCAGGCAGTCACAGCACTGGGAGTGAGGCTATGGAGGAGGGGGGCTATCGCCACCCCAGAATTTGCTGTAGACCCCCCCTCCCAGTGCCACTGCCACCTGCCTCAAGCACAGCCCTCAGTCTCCCACACACGCACACT